GCTGCACGAGAACTGCCGGAAGTCGCAAGCACTGGTGCCACCGAGTTGAGCTTCCAGCCTTAGTCTCACAGCAAATCCTAAAACATCCTGAAACCTTGGATCCTGCCCCCCACGCCCCAGGTAGTCCCGGAGCAGGTCTTCCTGGCGAGAGTTTTACCAGGAGAGAAGTCCAGCCGGCAGGACTGCCAACCTCTGACCCACAGGGGATCCTCAGATGCCCCTTAATCTCAGTTCTGGCTACAAATCGAGAGGCATTTTTCCCACCCGGGAACCCTCGGGAGGCACGTCTGCCGGTGCCACTGCAGGCTGACTCACTGACCTCAGTCAGATCGTGGGTCTCAAAACTGCCCTAGAAATTGACTGCAGCCAGCCCCTCTCAAGCGTGGTCTGAGAGCAGGCATGCCCACCCTGGCACCTGTCCGGAGACAGCACCTGTGTGTGGCCCCAGAGAGAGACCTGAAGATCTTGGTGTCAGCTGTAGACCCCAAACCACATCCTCGACTCCAATCCAGCCGCACTCAGCTCTCAAACATGGCAGCATGGCCTCCACCGGGACCCCCTCCCTTCCAGTGATTGAACGGCCCCCCAAAGGCCTGAGGGAAGCCACACCCACGGTACACCTGACAATAGAGCACTATCTGAAGACACTGAAGCATATCCTCATCCTGGCACCAGCTCCACAAACAAAGATCCTGGAAACAGTCCCGTGCACCCAGGGACTGGGCAAGATCCATGCCCACTAGAGCCCCTGATACCAGGAATCTGACTGGAACAATCGCCAGCAAGGCTGGATTGTTTGTTTCTGTTCCTAGCAGTCATGTCTCAACCCAGGGCCTGGGCTGCCTCCAGGCAGGACTCGAACTCCCGCCAGACTGGGCAGCCAGGGCCTCTGTGCTTTAATCTGCAAGCCTCCTAATTCTGCCCCGAGAAATGGTGCATGATGCTCTACAGGAGCTCGGGAGATGATTGGGGACAAGGCCTGGCCTGGCCATGCTCGTCTGGCACCTGAACTCTCACTTTCAGCTCCACCTGGCGTGCAAACCGTGGGGCTCTGGGTCCCCTTTGGTCACCCCTGACTTGTCCCCTTACTCCACACGGGAGGAGCTGAGACTTCAGGATCCAGTGCCTCGGCCGTGTCATCCCCAGCTGATCGCTCTGCAGCCAGCTCCCTCCCCGCCCCATGATTTGGTCCCCTGCCCAGGCTGGGAGGAGGCAGCCCTGCCTGCAGGGATTGGCTGGCCGAGACCTGCCCTGCCTCCCTCAGCCTTTCCTTCATCAGGACCCAGGGCAAAGACCGCCCAGAAGGGCGAAGAAGAGGTTGTGTGGACAAGCTGCTCCTGAGAGAAGGTGCCAGGCTGGAGGTGGTGGCCCTGGAGGGTCCCAGCCTGGGATGGGGGTGGGGGGCCAGCCCAACGCTGGGGCCGCTCTAGGGAGGTGGCCCTGGGAATGGTGGTTTCCTGGAAACTGAGCCCCTGGCAGCCTCCCTGCAATTCAGCCTGGGCCTTTGTGGACTTTAGCTCTCAGGCATTGTTTACCCATCTCGGAGCCCTCCCCTTCCCGCCCCTGCTTCTCTGCCCTGGCCCTGGAGCCCCCTTCCCTCTCCTGGGCCTCAGGAACTCCCCCTGCACCTGTGTGCCCTGCAGGATGCCACAGCTGAGCATGCCCTGGCTGGGCCTGGGGCCAGTGGCCACATCCCCGTGGCTGCCGCTGCTGTTGGTCGGGGTCTCCTGGCTCCTGGCCCGCGTCTTGGCCTGGACTTATGCCTTCTATGACAACTGGAGCCGCCTCCGATGTTTCCCAGAGCCTCCCAAAACAAACTGGCTCTTGGGTCACCTGAGCCTGGTGAGTGTGGCAGCAGGACGGGTCTGGGGTGTCAAGGCAGGTGGACTTCCCCAGGACAGGAAGGGGCTCAGGGAGCCGGGGATGGAGGTGGGCTGGGGTCTGGGACGGCAGAGAAGCGAGGGAGGCGGCTCACTTGCTCCTCTGCTCACTGCCTCACTGCTCTGCTGTGCCGTCCCAGGCCTCTGTCCTCTCCTTGTCCTCCCACCCCAGCCCGCACAGCAACCTTTTCCTGCCTGTCTTCCCACATTGGTGCACCGTGAGGGCTCCCAGGGAGGGCAGCACAGAGCAGGGACCCCTGGTGTTCCCAATCCTCCACCGTGGGACTTGAGGGGCAGTATCCAGGGTTTGCTCCCTGCCTGGCCCGTGTCCTGTGTCTGCCCCTCTCTGGGCTGTGACTCCCCCACTCTCCCAAACACACAGGGGCACAGCTGGGACACAAGACAGGTGGTGACAGTGTCCCACCCTTGCCCTTCCTGAGCACCCTCCTGTTACCCTGCTCTTCCCCACTAAGGTGTCCCAGTGGGCCCTGCTGTGCAACCTGCGTGACAGTTGGTCGCTCACTTCCTCTCTCAGAAGCCTTTCCCAACCCCCTCTCCCCACACCTTGCCCTCTGACTTGGACCTGCTGTCCCCTGTGGGTGACGTGGCCTCAGCCTGTTCACTTGTAATGGCAGGGGAGATGGGCGTGTCCTTAGGCTCAGTGGGAGGGTGCACAGCCTGGTCTGCAGAAATTGCTCACAGTTGGGAGCCATGGTCCACATGGACAGGTAGAGCTCCCCTCTGCTCCCTGGGGTCTGCTGAGGCTGGAAGTTCCCCAGGGTGCAGACCCTTTCCCAGGGGAGGAACTGAAGCCCACGTGCACCAGCCAGGACATGAGGGCACGTGGAAACCTGCCTTAGGGACACATCCTGAGGTCACACTGCCGCCGACAACCCTTTCTGTGGGGACGTCCCCATATGGCTGTCCCCAGGCCAGAACCACTCCCAGGACAAGAAAACCCTTCCTCTGGAGCCAAGGTGGCCCATGTGTGGGCAGAGATCGCATCCCCTCCCTCTGCCCGGGATGCACCTGTGGCGTTTGGAGACGGCCCCAGGAGAGAAGGGGCAGGAGGAAGCAGAGATCCCCTGCATCTCCGCAGAATCCACACACGCCGTTCACTGCAGAGGCTGCGCCACCTCCAGAGGCCGCGGGGGACCTGCGGTGGCCACTCCTGGGGACGTGTATTAGTCAGTGTTCCGCAGAGACACAGAACCACCGGGCACACAGATCTGGTATAGGTCTGGACAGAGAAGAGGGGATTTACCATGAGAACTGGTTCAGGGGGCTGCGGAGGCTGGGAAGTCCTACCCTGTGCCGACTGCAAGCTGGAGACCCAGGGCGCCGGAGCTGTCGCTCAGTCCGAGTCCGAAGGCCTCAGCAGCTGGAGCTCGGATGTCCAAGGGCAGAGAAGGTGGAAGTCCCAGCTCCGGGAGACAGAGCCAAGTCCCCTCCTCCTCCTTTTTGTTCTCTCTGGGCCCTCAGTGGGTTGGATGGTGCCTGCCACACTGGGGAGGGCGGATCTTCCTTCCTCAGTTTACCCATTCAACTCCTCGTCTCTTCTGGAAACTCTCAATGACACACGCAGAAATAATGTTTACCTGCTATCTGGGCAACCCTTAGCCCGGTCACATTGATACCTGAAATTAACCATCACAGGAGGTGACGGCCCTGTCTTACTTGCAGGTCATGAACACAGAGGAGGGTTTGAGGGACGTGACTCAGCTGGTGGCCACCTACCCCCAGGGCTTCAAGTTCTGGCGGGGCCCCACCCTCCCCCTCATCAACATTTACCACCCCGACATCATCCGACCTGTCCTGAATGCGTCAGGTACCATGCAGAGCTAGTGGTGGTGGGCGCCGTGGCGCATCCAAGGGCTTTCAGCTCTTCCTCCCCGATGCTCTTGCTTGGCCCCTGCAGTACCTGGGTCCCTCCCTCCCTCTTTTCCCTCAGCCACCTTCCTCTTCCCTGCATGTACTCACCCACCCCCACCCCAGTGTCTCCTCCCTGCACTGTCCTCTGCTCCCTTCCCTGGTGTCCTGGGCACCACTGGGGCCCCAGGAGGCCTCTCAGTTCAAGGCCTTGTCCTGGGGGAACTCCCCAACCTCATGTGGTCAGGAATGGACCAGAGGAAGATGCACTATGACAGCTCAGAGGAGACCTAAATTTCTACTGGACAGACTGGAAGGCTACCTACAGGAAGAGTTGCTAGAGCTGGGTCTGGATTGATGAGGAGGAACATTTTAAGTGCAGGAAGGGTGACTCAGTGACAGCATTAGTGTTCCAGGCTCCCTGCCAGGCCTGCTGTAAGCCTTGCATGTGCTCAAGTCCAGGACAATGAGGAGAACTGGCAGCTGGTGGAGGACCTGGGCCGCTTGCATGAGTGCCACCTCCGTGGGTCAGCTCCTTCTACCCCACCCGGTGGCTCGTCTGGCCTATGTTCATTGCTCTTCTGCTCCAGGCCCCAGGAATCTCCAAGGAGCCCCACTGCAGCCTGGTGGCCTTCCCTTGCCCTCTTCCCTCCCTTCCTTGCACAGTCCAGGCTGAGCAGGGAAATGGGCAGCATCCCACAGAGACTATGGCTCTGACACCAAAATGCTGAGTGACTTTGGGCAGGTCCCTGGGCCTCTCTGGCTTCTGACATCTCTTTCAGTTGTGAGTGATGGAAACTCACCCTCATGTCATCTCAGCAAAGAAAAGAAATCTGTTGACCATAAAGTCCAGAGAGGGTGGCCTTCAGACAAGGCTGGATCCAGGTCTGAAACAATCTCTTCAGCCATCTGTGTCCCTCTTGGTTTTATCTTTTACTGTACCATTTTTTCTTGCAAGGCCATCCTTTCCTCGTGGTGTCCATGAGGGGTTCCAGAAGATTCAGACATCTCCTCTTTTCCTCAGACCTTCCATAAGTAGCCTGAGATTCACTGTGATTGTCCTAGCCTGGGTCACAGGACCAATTCTTCAGCTAGTCACTGTGACTCTGATTGTCCAGTCTTGGCAGGTGTGCGGCTTCCAGAGCTATTCTTTCTGGGAACAAAGGAGTTTGATGATAAGAACTCAGGCCCTGGATTCAGACAGAGCCAGGCTCAGGTCTCAGGTGTGCCCCAGACTACCTGGGAGTTCATGGGTGAGGGGCTTCATGATTCAGAGTGTTACTTTCTCAATCTGGAAAATGGGATGACAGACAGCCCAGGTGAACTGGCATTTGTGATCTCTCTTAGTTCATCTGTTGCTGTAACTGAGTAGCTGAGACTAGGTGATTTATGAAGAAAAGAAATTTATACTCACAGTTCTAGAGGCTGGGAAGTTCGAGGTTGAGCTGTTGTATCTGCTAAGCATCTAGCGAGGGCCGTGTGCTGTGTTAGAGCATGGCAGAAGGCACCGCAGGGCAGGGGACTGAGTGTGCTCGCTGAGGTCTGCCTTCCTCTTCTTATAAAGCCACCAATCCCACTCCCGTGACATCCCATTAATCCATTAACCCACTAATAGATTAATTTATTAACCCCTCAATGGATTATCTGTTCAGGAGGGCAGACCCGACAGGATCCAGTCGCCTCTTGAAGGCCCCGTCTCTCAGTTCCGCCACGTGGGGATCTACGTTCAACGTGAGTTTCCGAGGGGCAGACATTCAAACCACAACAGGATCCAAACGGGGAATGGCTTTTCCTGTCCTGTCACTGAGGCTCCTGGTTGCTGTGTTTGAGAATGGCGGGGGGATGCCAAGGAAGAGGCTCAGCGCAGAGGTTGATGAGACGTGGGACAGACTCCCCAGGGCTCGGGGCTGCATCTCTACCTGGCAGGTCATTCTCCCTGGCAGCCTGGAAGACTGTGAATTGGGTTCTGTCTGCTCTTCTCCAGACTCGGGGCTTGCAGGACGGTCTCCTGTACATGCAGGGCCTGGCCAGCACCTTTGGGGATGTTGCTGCCGGCGGGTGAGGCGGTGGGATGTGGTCGTCTGCATCTTCCACCCATCTGCATCAAACCTGTGCTCTTTGCTCAGACGGACACTGCATTGGCCACAGCTCGCCCACTGCTGCGGTCTCTGTGCTGCCTCCAGCTGGACTGGGGACCAGAGTGGAGACAGGAGGGGCTGCGGTGGAGAAGCCACTGCCTCTGTCTCCCCTGGACTGAACTGTCTGACCTCTGTCTGACCTCTGGTCCTGTTTGCTCATGTCTGACCATGTCTGTGTGACGTCTGCTGTATGGACACATCTTGTCACGTGTATATTTACACCTGGTTCCAGGTGGCACCTGGTTCCTGTTACACCTGGTTACACCTGCTTTACACCTGTAATCATGGCGATCACCAGGTCTGGGGCTCCGCTGTAGCCAAGGTCACTTGGAACATGCTGGAGCCCATCTGCTTCTTGTCTGAAATGTTTGAGATTTGCTTTTTCTCCTACTTGTCACATCTGGGCCGTATTTGGGGCTTGTCTGAGGTCTCGGACCCAAGGCCCCTTTGTGAGCTGTCTGAGATACGAGTCTTGTCTGAGGCAGGTCTTGAGGTATGTTCAGATTACACCCGGGGCACAGTCTGGCTCACACCTGGTCCACATCTAGGACATTAACAGGATTATATTTCCATCCTACCTTGGGCCCAACCGTGAGGCATTCTGAGCTCATGTCAGACCATTTCAGGTCAATTTCATGCCATGTTGGGTGATTTAGGGTTTGTCATGTGTGTCGTGGCTGTGTCAGGACCTGTAACACATCGGGGCATGTCACATGTCTGAGATCCCTGTCAGGGGGTGTCAGAGTTCTGGGTAGGCAGGGTATCCTAGGTTCTTAGGAAGTTGTTTTGTAGGGTTTTGAGCTGTGTTCGGCTGTTGCAGACATGCTGAGGCATGTAGGGGCCATGTCAAGGCATCATGGTGTGTGCTCTGCCCTGTGAGGGTGTGTGTTGCTCTAGTGTCTGCTGCAGCCTGATCTGGGCCCCTCCCTTCCCCATCGTCCCTGCTCTGTCTGCACTTGGCCCCCTTCCTGCTATTCTGGGCTTGGAGGGGGGAATTCAGACCCCTGGCTGGGAGCCTCCAACCCCACCCCAAGCCCTTCCCCTGCCCGTCCATGTCCCTGATTGTCCTCATTCATGCCAGCCGCCATTGTACGGAAGGATAGTATCTTCTTCGGCTTCATGAAACCCTGGCTGGGTGAGTAACTGCAGGCGAGTCGGGCGGGGACAGCCTTGTGGAGCAGGAGAAGGTGTTGCCTTTGCTCACTGCCCTTCGCTGCCCGACTAGGGGAGGGGCTCCTGCTGAGTGCCGGTGACAAGTGGAGCCGCCACCGTCGCATGCTGACTCCCGCCTTCCATTTCAACATCCTGAAGCCCTATGTGAAGATTTTCAACGACAGCGTGAGCATAATGCACGTAAGTCCCTTGACACTGGGGTCCTAACTGGAGCCTTGGGGTGGAGGGCCCACAGACAGGTCTGAGCTAGAGTTCTGGCTCTGCTGGGTGGCTTGGTCCTTCTTCTTCCTCTCTGTGACTTGCTTTCCTCATCTGTAAAATGGGTATAATAATCCCTACTTAAGAGGATGTCAAGATGATGTAATGGTGTCCTGTCCCTGGCACATAGTAGGTGCTCAGACAGTGTCAGTTTCTATGTTTCTCTCCCTGTGAGCTCAAGAGAGCAATGATGAATATCACACAGCAGCTACTGCTGCGAACGAACCACTTCCGAACTCATTGGATTAATCAATGTGCTCGTCATTGCTAATAAGTCTGGGGGACAGTGGGCTGCTTCTTGTGGCTGTGGAAGGGGTCATTCAGGGTGTGTGATCAGCTGCGGGCCGGGTGGCAGCGTTGCTGATCCTGGCTCAGTCTCTCACCTGTGTGGGGCTCGGCCGGCATCAGGCTGATCTAGGATGGCCTCAGCAGGGACAGCTGGACTTTCCTCCATGCGATTCTCTCCCTCCAGAAGGGATCCCCGGCTGTCCCCACGGCAGATACAGGGCTCCCAGGGAGTGAGAGGAGGCTGCAAAGCCTCTTGGAGCTCAGTAGAGTTATTGTGTCATCATTTTTCCCACATCGTATTGGCCAAAAAAAACGGCAGAGGTCTGGCACAGAATGAAAGTGTGGTGGGTAAAATAGGCTCCGTCTCTTAATGCAAATTGCTGAAAAATCCCACTGCCAAGGGTGTGGGCTGAGGGAGATGTGGAGAACAGGGTTACGGATTTGTCTGTATATTTTGCATTTTTATTTCAAATTATAATGGGGGTACAAACATTTTGGTTACAAAAATTTCTTTAGTACCATTTGAGTCAAAGTCGTAAGTGTGTTCAGCACCCAGGTAGTGGGCATTGTACCCGATAGATGTGAATTACCCATCTGCTCCTGCCCCCTTCCACCCGCTGGATTTCCGATGAATGTTATTTCCATGTGTGCACGTAAGTGTTGATCGATTAGTTACATTTTAATGGTGAGTACATGTGCTGTTTGCTTTTCCAATTTTCTGATAATTCACTTAGAAGAATGGTTTCCAGGTGGGATAAGGATTTTTTGAACTGCCTAAGATTTTTTTTCTTACTCGAAAGGTTATAAGTTAACGTGTTACTTTTTCATGGATTCTGCCACAGACACGAGACTCCAGGGTCAGAGACAAAGGGTGCTTTACTACTAATGGCACAACAGCACGTACTTCTTCTTGGTTTGCCTCCTTTTTCCAAGCCGCTCAATCCCACGTGGGTGACACAGGCGGGATCCTATCGATGCCTGTTCCTGGAGTCCATTGCGGTGCAGGGGAGGAGCACTAGGCTTAGGGAATCTGATTTTACAGCAAGCAGACACAGCCTGGTATGTGTCCGGGGGAATCATGACCTTATCCCTCAAGGTTCTTCTCTTCAAACACAGGGTGGAGAAATGACCCAGGTTAAGAACATAGGTCTTTGCATTCTTGACATGCCCAGCAAGGATGCTCAGGGCCCATGGAAGACTACTTCTACCAACATAGGGATATATTTGCAATCCACTTATAACAATAAATATGAGGAAAGCCAACATTTCTGAGCACTCACTATGTGACAGAAATGATTCCTTGTGCCATTTCCATGATATAAATTCTCTGATTTAATTTTAATGCACCTGTCAGAGTTTCTACTTACCCCATTACAGAAGAGGAAACTGATATCCAGAAAGGTTAGAGGGGTTACTCAAGTCTACCCATGTACTGAGTCCTGGGGTGGTGGAGCCGGGATTCTAACCCAGTTTATCTGGCACCAAAGCAGGTCAACTTAAATCTTCCTGAAGATTTGACAGGTGGGACCTAAGGGAAGGCACTGGGTTGCCCATGGGCACACTCAGCATAGGATGCAGAGCTGAAACATGAACTCAGATCTCTTGTTCCCAGCCATGGGGTCTTCATCTCCTAATAGTAAAAGCTTCTGCTTTCACCCAAGCCGGGTCCTCCCTGGAGATGGCTACCTGGGCCAGAGGACCAAGAGGCTGGTTCTGAATGTGTTTATCCTGATGTTTGGGATTGGGGATGGGCTCCAAAGAGCCAAGGCCCAGTCCCCCAGCTCTGTCCCCTTCTCTGGCCAGGCCAAGTGGCAGCACCTGGCCTCGGAGGGCAGTGCCCATCTGGACATGTTTGAGCACATCAGCCTCATGACCTTGGACAGTCTGCAGAAATG